TAAAAAAACAGAAAAAAAACATCTTTCATCATGAGAAGACGCCTTTAAGCGGCTTTTACCCAACATTAAGTTATAGCAATTATTGCCTTAAAAACAAGCGATGCTAAACCCGCAATACATCACGACCGTGCGTGTTAGCATTACTTTAATAATAAACCTGATTTAGTGACAGTGAAAGCAAAAATTGAAATAATTAATGGTCGCATTTCAATTTGTTTAATTTAAATTACAAATAATGAAAATAAGATATTCTTAAATAAATATTAATAATAAAAATAAGTCATGACTTAAAAAATCTTTTTTTAATTCGTTTATTTGCTGACATGCTCCACATACATATTACATGTTATTATATAACTATTATTATTCTTATTACTGAAGTTGAAATAATGTTCATAATATTGTACTAACTAATAAATTGCGATTTAGGTTACAATTTTACAAATCATAAAAATTAGAAATAATATTACAGATTATTAAAGGTAAATAATTAAGTTCACAAATTGCGTGGTCCGCTTGACCAATTAATATATTACAATTAATTAAGGTTTTTAGTTGAGATTAAAAAAGGAGGGAAAATTCTAAAGTTGGGATTGAGATGGGAAGTTGGTGTCCGAGTGGATCGAGGTCACGATAGCTCAAATGGTAGAGCAGCGGCGTATCTAGCCGAAGATCGTGGGTTCGAATCCCACTCGAGCCATTGACTTTTTTATCTCTACTAAAAACCTTAATTAATTGTAGTAAATAATTAAGGTTAAAATCTTTGTATCACATATTTAAAAGTATATTTATTTTTACCACGTAAAATAATGCGGGCTTTGCTAATCTTAAAGAAACTTCTAACTCATTGTTTTTCTACCCTTAAATACTTTATTAAATGAAAAATTGTCAGAAATGAAGAGAGTTTTGTCAGAGGAATGCAAAAGTAAATTTATTACGAAGAAAGCATAAAGCTTACAATGGTAAAAATAGAAAAAATACTCCACCGAAATATTTGAAAATTGCTTACCATAAACTAAAAATGGGAATGTCTTTTTATTATGAATTATTTTTTCATGCTTGCATATTATTTAAAATGGATATAATTTTTTTCCATTTTCTGGTTTAAACTAAATCAAAACGTAATACGAATTGGTGTGGGAGCAATTTTTTTATACTCTGAACTTACAAAAGTGTGTCATCACTCTTCTCAAAAACAAACAAATATTCGCTTTTTATAAAGATGTCAACTTAGGCTTCTTAAGATTAGAAGTTGCGCCTTCGTATGAACGCTGTGAAAGTTCTTAAAATGACAAACCGCACCGTTGAAGGCTTTGACCCCTTAGTCACTTTCACTTTCGATGAGATCAGCTCGGTCAAAGTTATTGTCACCGGTTTTACTCGGATTTTCAATTATCCGAATAACTAATATGGCCTATTAATTAAACGCTTTAATGTTATATCCTAACGTATATCAGGATTTAAAAAAATCTAATTTCAAAAAAGAAATTGGATACTTTGGAATCTGAAAAGGAAACTTTAAAATAGACAACAAGAAATGCGTCTGGTCCGCATGTCCTCGCTGTGGTCTGTGGTCAGACTTTAGCTTGTAGCCGTTATAACTTTATCTCATCCATCTAATTTAAAAGTTAAACAATGCACCGATGAATGATAGACCATCAATTTGATTTATGGGCTTTTCTTAGGAATCATACAATTCGATTTTAAAATTGCAAAACCATTTTGGTCCTATTTTGGTTAAAACTCCGTTGAAGACCTTGTAAATATAAACATTGGTACATATAAATAAAGGTAGCTCCTGACAAATGTGAAATACTCGTATTGAAAGGGTCAATGGGCACCCCCCCCTTAGAGTGAAAATAGACGGTAAAAACATCAAACCAAGCCATGAAGTCAAATACCTTGGCGTTGTTATAGGAGAGAGATTGAATTCTTTTCCACACGCTCTAAAAATCCTGGAATCCACACGCTGTACCTTTGCAAAATTAAGCAGGATAGCCAAATCAACATGGGGGCTCAGCTCAAAGGCACTTTCAACGATCTATAAGAGCGTATATATCCCTATAGCAACTTATGGAGCAGCATCCTGTGGATGAAAACTGCAAGGTAAAACCAAACAGGTAATAGAACAAACCCAGCAAATTGCTTTACTGAGGACATCGAAGGGATACAGAACGGCTTCCACTCACGATCTCCAAGTGTTAATGATAGCAACACCTATTGACATAAATGTCCATAATGCAAAGAAAGAGCTGAAGAAGGGATTGCTACCAAGACTACCCGGCTTAGAGGAACATGAAGCGAATTGGTTAAGAAATGCACCCAACAGCCAGCGCCAAACTTTTCTGAACGAATGGGTAACCGACACCTGGCAAAGCAGATGGGAAAGTAGTATCAAGGGCAGGCTTACTTATGAGTTCTTTCCCATCATTAAAGAAAGAAAAAAGCTGAGTTGGGTGCAACCAGATTTTTGGTCCACACAAATGCTTACGGGGCATGGAAACTTTGCCGTTTATCTGCACAAATTCAAGAGAGCAAATACCCCAAACTGTCTGTTATCCAATGTTCGTGAAGACGTACGACACAAGCTATTTTTCTACCCAAGCTTTGTACAACTTCGTCAGGACCTGCGAAACAGTTTTCAGAATATATGGCCTCCAGAATTGAAGGAACTTGTAAAAAGCGAGCGATGTGTTCAAACAGCTTACACAGAGCATCCTAGCGGGTAGTAAACCAAGTACCTGAAAAAAAACTTTCTAAACCACCTGTGATTAAACTGTGATATATTTAAATGTGTAACCTTAGTACCGATAATTCCGGGCTGGCTACTTCTTTAAAAATAAGTTAACATTGTTATATAGTACCTAAAACTGTGATTGTTCTTTATTGCTTAAATTAGTATATTTATATTGTTTTGTAATTTTATATAGTTTTTATAACTTTAATTTTGAAATTTTATGTAATGATTGTATGATATTACTGTGCGAAAAGGAGTAACTAGCAAGGGGGAGACCTATTAGATTAGGTCAATTTAAGTAATACAGAGAGGAAAAATATATATACCCCTCACCTTCCTCGTGACCCCCGTTTAGAGCGAGGCATAAGGAAGGCGTTATGCTTCCGTTTTCCCCCGTACAAGAAAATAAGTCAGTCTAGTGGCCGAGGTCCGCCGGTATGGGGTCTCCCTCAGGGAGGTGGATGGGAAAAAACAAATATAATAAATAACTTTAATCCTACTTTACTTTTCAAATAGGTCGACCTTCTTCGATGAACTGTTGAAGGAAACCGCGTTGGCCGAGTGATAAGATAGTCTAGATTTGCCACGCTACCGGTCCTGAGTTCAAACCCCAACGTAGCGCATGGCTTTTTAGTTGAAAATTGTATGAAAAAGTATTGTAAAGTGGTTGATCGCTCTGACGTAACACCCAACGGGTCGTTAGACCTTAAGTCCTCCTGTAATACAATAATTATTTCACTTTAAGATTTTACTTTACTTGGACTGGTGAAGCTTTAATTTTAAAAAAATTCAAAATATACTTATACATATTACAAAATTGGTCTGCATATTAGCTGATACCATAAAGTCCGTTTTTGGACTTATCCATATTTTTTCTCGGCCGGCTAACCAGCAGGGTCATTGCCGGCACCTCACATACATAAGCATCTCTCATTTTTCTTTGTTTCATTTCAACTGGATCTCTATCTGATTCACTATATCTCTTCTTTTAATTTTGTTTCCTACCGACCAAACAGAGGAGTGTCTTGTTGCTCGTTCCTACCATCCCACACGTGGTATGTTAAAAATACTTCAATACTTACAGACTCACTAACAATACCCACTCACGCTAAGAAAATGATTACCTAATCTACAGTTGGCAGGGCTCAGACTGAGGTCCTGCCCCTACAACTAAATAAAAAGTCGGTAGGATAGTCATAATCCTACCGACTTCCTTCCATTCGTGCTAATAGATACATTCATACAGTATGAACAGAATTTCATTCATCCATTAGACAAATTTCCTTTTGACGGGCTTCTGGAGTACTCGATATTCCTCGACATCCACGTCCATTTACACAAAACATTCACTCTAATAAATACATTCTTTTAATGACGTAGGAATTTTTCCTTTGTATTTTCAATTTCTTCTGTTGTGCTCAATCTCTGCCAATGATTTTCCTGTAAAATTTAAAAAAATAAGTACAGAATTCTTTTCAGTGTATGAAGTAGTCTTTATTACACAAAATGGCTTCCTAGGTTCGATTACAAGGTAGTTTAATTTGTTATATTTTATAACAATTTGTTTATAGTTGCCTTCTGTTAAGAAGGACATCCTCTTTCTCCCATTGCGTTTCTTGCGAATCTTTTTGCTTACCTTTTGTCCAGTGTTTCATGAGTTTTTCCATAACCCAAGATTCCAGCTGTGTATTAATATGGCTCATGTATATGCGCACGAAATAAATTTTTGGATCTGTTCGTCCGGGACTTCCTTTTTAGGTAGGTGTTCTGCTGCCTCGTAAGCTGTAATGACTTGGTACACTCTGTTGCATTAGGCTATTTATGTGTACCGGTTTTTTTTAGGTCATTTCTGTAGAGCTTTGGCTTTCTGATAGCAATAAAATTATTAGGGCTTGAATGTTCGTTGTGGTAAATTCTAGAGCCATGCGGTGCTCATTTTTTAAAAAAAATTATCCGTAATTTTATCATTCTTAATTTTTCTATTAAGAAACTCGACATTTCCTGAGCAAACAAATACTCAGCGGTGGCATTTTGATCTAAATGCACAAATTCGTCGCGGGAAATACGACAGCTCGTTTTAAAAAGAGAGTTTCGGATGAAAGTGACTTTGAATTACCGGAGGTGCTTCCGTTTCTGCTTTTTCCGCCGGTTCTTTCCCTCAGTTTGACTTCCTTTTCACTTAGTTGTAATTGTCGAAATCCCGTAGTCATTTTAGACACCGGTGGTCCATAAAGGGACTATTTAAACCTTAGACTGCCTTCGAGACAAGTTCATTGATCATCCTGCTGGAATGGCATCACCATGGCCGTTAGAAACCTAGCCCTTGCAACTATCGTAAGTAAAAACGTTAAATCAAAGCACCAACTTTACACTTTTTTCCCCAAATTGTGCACACATTACTCTTTACACATTTATAGTTAATAGTCTGGCTGCCTTTTGTTTTTCATATATCTTACTCAAAACGCAACTTTAAAAAACCTAGTTGGAAATAAGATATATTGACTAATAAATACAACAGGAAAAAATGTTTCCAGATCTTTCAGAGATCATAACACGCAAGATATATCACTACAAATAATAACAGTTTTTATTACTAAGTATATAATTCGAGAAAAAAAGTGAAAAGGCAGACATTAAGGTATTGTTTTTATGCAGTGTTGTATGTTGTTAATGTAAATAATAAATAGATTACAAGCAAAATCGATGGGGGCGTCGGTGGCCGCAACGGTTAGTCGTTGGCACGGTGCTCATCACTGTAAGGTCCCGGGTTCGAATCCAGCGGCCCTGCATTCAAACCTGACATACTGACTTTTTTCAAAAACACCGGCACTCTGAGGGTTGATATGATCTCTGCTGATGCAAACCCTCGTAAAAAAAATCGAACAAATTTTTTATTTTTAAATTTCGTTTTTACTCCGTCTCGACAGAGTTTACTATTTTTCAAAAAAAAAGATTGTCAGTAGTAATAACCATCAAATCCGTCTACATTGTTCGGTGTGTGTGTGTGTGTGTGTGTGTATACGTGCGTGTGCGTGTGTGTGGTTGGGTGTCAAAGAGAGGAAGAGAGAAAAAGAAAGAGTGAGAAGGAGAGAGCGATAGGTAGAGACACATAAATATATATAAATATAGAGAGATAGCTAGATAAAAATAGATAAAGAGATAGAAGAGAGAAAAGGCAATATGTGAAAGAAAGAGTGAGGCAGTGAGGAGAGAAAGAGACAGAGAAAGTTAAAGAGGAAAAAAGAAAGAGAGTTTGAGTCAATGGGATAGAACGAGAGAAAGAGAAAAAGTTAGAGAGAGAAAGACAGAGAGCGATAGATGAACGTACTTAGAGAATATATATATNTATATATAGTGATACAAAGATAGATAGATAAAGAGATAGAAGAAAGAAAAGGCACTAAGTGAGACAGAGAGGATAGAGAATGAGAAAAAGAGAGGGAGAGAGAGTAAGTTAAAGGAGGAAAGAGAGTGTTTGAGGTAATGAGATAGCAAGAGAGAAAGAGAAAAAGTCAGAGATAGAATGAGAGATTGAGATAGTGAGAGTAAAAGAAACACAGCCTGAGAGAATGTGATAGATTGATAAAGAGGAAAAAGGATCTAGCACTACAACTGAAAACACTCCTAAAGTTTACTAAAAGTTTAAAATTATATATGTGGGACGTTTCAAAATTCGCATCATCAAAGTTATGGAGCAACCAAACGCCAGACCAACAAGTCAGAAAAGTCTGGCGGGTCCAGACGGCCGCCCATCATCTTAATCAGCATTTCTTTGGACTAGTATAAAAAACCCAAATCCCCAAATTACTCGTTCGATAACATTCTGCTCGTTACTCTGTCAGTTTAAAATTAAACATTGAACAGTTTTGACAATTAAGTTTCTTCTTTGAAAAATGACAAAAAGGAGGGAAAATTCAAAAGGTGGGGTTAAGATGGGAAGTTGGTGTCCGAGTGGATCGAGGTCACGATAGCTCAAGTGGTAGAGCAGCGTGGGTTCGAATCCCGCTCGTGACACTGACTTTTGTATGTAACACTGTTTTATTTAAATTTAAATTGAATTTGGGCTTTGTTTATTTTAGATGGTCTGTAAATTTCGAAAATTTGTACGATTTAGGCAAGTGTCCTGCTTTGCATCCTGCTCGTCCAATTGACTTTTTTATATCAACTAAAGACTTTAATTAATTATAATATATCGAGCGGACCACGAAATTAGTGAGTTTTTTAAATGTTTTCTTCGAGCGATTACTTTACTTCCATTTTTTGAAATCGCTAAAACTGAAGACAAAAATCACGATAGCAGCAAGCTTTAACCCGTTTTCAGAAGGTAATGTGACCTGTATTGTGCACAGATTTGAAAAAAACTTTTTGACAATAAAGTTTCCTCTTTTTTAAAAAAAGTCTTCTTCGAGCGATTACTTACCTGGCGCCCGGAACAGGAACCGCGAATGAAGTTTTAAAGTCGTGACCATTTGTCCTGCAGTTGCGTCCATTTGACTCAACGGAACTTTAAGCGTGCTTGTCAATACTTTGTTCGCGGTTTATAGCGTTACTATTTGGACCTTCCCCGAGGGAGTGGATCTTTCCTTGTTTAGACAAATGAATGAATAATAAACAAAGAATATTAAAAGGGAAACAATTCTTATATTGAGCAATTTACAAAAATTTGAAATTAAGGTCTAAGTTTGGAATTAAAATTTTTTTTTTATTAAAGGAAACTGACTGATTATTATAATCTTATTTTAAATTAAAAAAACAGAAGCAATTCTTACGAGACTAATTATTATTATGATTATCAATAAAATGAAATAAACAAGTTGCAATACCGACTTTGTGAAGTTTAAACAAACAAACAAAAATTACTCTTCGTTGTAAACTAAATGATTAAAAAAATCCTTTTTTTTTTTACGAAAAACAAATTAAAATTAAAAAAAAAACTTGCGTCACGATTCTCGCTTGTGTAAGGACTTAAGGCGGCCTTAATAATTGCAGTCCCGATTCTCGCTTGTGTGAAGATGGTTGATCCTTGCTGCTTTTTTACCCAAAAAGAACCAATTGCCACGTCTCGTCTCTCGTTCAGCTCAAAACCAACAGGCCTCTTCTTGTTGAAGACTCCTTCCTCCTCCTTCTAGTCGCTTGTGGAAGGGCTTTGGGCGGCCCTTATGAATTGCACTGTCATAAATACTCCTAAGATTCCAAAAAGAAAAAAAAGAAAAAAAGAAAAATCTTAGGCCTAAGTGATCAAAAGTGATGAAGATTCTGGAAGGTCTATGATGTAGTGATGATGTATGTTAGATGCAACTGCAACAGATGTTTGGCGAAGTCTTAAGTGCCTGTTTGCATTATCTTCTTCTTCAGTGCAAATTGTACAGTAATTTGGATGCGATGGTCCTTTTCGTTTGCGTTGTTGAGGTGATGAAAGGCGTCCAGTTGACACATGAAGAAAGAGGAAATTGTAGATTGGAAGTAGTTCTAAGCTGGAATAAGTTGTATTTGTTGATGACATAGTTGAATCAGCTGTGCTGGAAATCCCTAGATGACGCAGGATGAAGACCATTCAAGTTATCGTTTATTTAATATGTTTGTCGTAAAGAAAAGGAATAAGCTTGCACGTTCTTTTAATTTTCATGCATCGTTTTTATTTATTGATTATTGTTTTTGTTTGCAATTTGTTTAATTTTGTACAGTTATTATTATTTGCTTCCATTAAATATCTTTCTTTTATGAAGAATAATTATGTCAATAAGCACTTTTAATTTGATAAAAAAGTTTTGATTTGAAAATAATTAATTAAATTTGTTTTATTTGTTATGCATTTTATTTATTTTTTGTATTCAAAGTTTTAATTTTATTGTTATTATTATTCTTTGTGGTAGTAAGCATCATAATTTTTTGACTATATTTAATATGATAAAGTTTTAAGTGGAATGTGTGTATTGCAAGTTTGCTGTTAGGAAATTTTGCTTTGAGATTTCAACTAAGTCAAATGAGCGTGAATCACTACTTTCGGATCATCACAAAAGTTGCTGCAAGGTAATTCCTCATTATTGTTTTTGTATGAAAGTTCATAATCAGAAGAGTTGTTGTTATTGATGTTACCCGAGATACAATCGTTTGGGAGGATATTATAAGCCTTTAATGGATTGTGACTAAATAATATTTGTTTGTGATTACAATCTAAAATCAGACCCGTTTCTTTCATGAAATTATGGCCCAGGACCATTGGAATTGGCATTTTATTCAAAATTTTTACGTTAATTGGCCAAGAAAGATTGTTAAAATTTATTTTACAGTTTGCATGCCCATATGAATTTATAGAGTCCCCTGCTATTGAAATTATTGTATTATTTCCCCCAGCGACAAAATTTTTAAATGTTTTTTTTATTTATTTTATTAAAGCATTCTTTGGATAAAGCATTTATTGTGCTCCCAGAATCTAACAATGCTGGTAAATGAAATTTCCCAATTTTTACTTTAATGAACGGTAGAATTTGAAATGAACCTTGGTTTTGAGTTATTTGAGTTTTTTGCTGCAGGGAGGCTGTGGGGTTATTTAGTTTTTTGAGATTTTTGTTTGCTTAGTTGTGTCGTTAGATGATGATGGTAAGGAACATGTTTGTACAAGAAGTTGTCTCAGTTCTAAAATTTGTTTGATGTTTCGATTGAGTGTTGCGAATACATTATCGTCAGATGCGCTGAAGGGTTTATTTTTATTTTTATGGTATTCCTGATTTTTTAAATTTGGTTTCTGTCTTGTCGGATTGCCATAATAGTGGTTTGGGTAACTCTCTTTTGAATGATATCTGTCCAAGTCTTTATAATTACCATGTTTGTATTTGTTAAAATTTTGGTTGTTTGATCTATTATCACGATTGTTAAAATTTGATCTATTGTTATAAAGATTTTGTTTGTAAGTACTATTGTTATTGTTAAAATTGTATTTTTTATTATTGTTATAATTTCTATTGGGCGAGCTGTGATAGTAATTTTTTGTTTTGTTTTGATGGAAATCTCTATACCTGTTTTCAAATTTTTTATGATTATGTACAATATCAGCATAGGATGGCTTGTTAAAATTTGGAACGCTGGGGTTTCCATACCTTTCATTTATTATGATTTCAGCTTCTTTTATTTTATCAAAAAGATGATTGTAGGATGTTATATTTTCTGCGTTTCCTAATAATACTAAATATTTTGGATGAATCGCTGAAATAAGATTTTTTATATTTTTGAGCTCATTTAATTCTCCAAAAATGCGTAACAAGGTAATTTGTTCATCAATGTAATAACGCAAAGGTGTTATTTCGTCTTGAGGAGAAAAAAGTCGTTTCGATTTT